CCACAAAATTAAAAGACTTACTTCTTGGAAGGAAAACTTTGGCAAATCTGGACAGCATACTAAAAAGCAGAGACTTTTGCCAACCAAGGTCCATAGTAGTTGAAGCTATGGTTTTTCCAATAGCAATGCATGGCTGTGAGAGTTGAACTATAAAGTAATGCTGAGTCCTACAGAATCAACATTTTCAAAATGTGCTTTTGGAGAAGACTTTTGGGAGTACCTTGGACAGCAAGGAGATGAAATCGCATAATATTTAAATTAATTCAGACTAATCATTGGAAGGTCAAATACTAAAGCTGAAGCTTAAATATTTTGGCCAATGAAAAGATAAGACTCATTGGAAAAGACCTTGATGTTGGAAAAGATTGAAGGCAAAGGAAAAAAGGGATGGCAGAGGATAAAGTGGATAGATTGTGTCATGGAAGCAATGAACATGATCATAGACAGATGTCAGGAGATAGTGGAGAATAGAAGAGCCTGATATGCTATAGTCCATGGGGTCATGAAAAGTCAAAGAGTTGGAAGTGACTCAACAAGGACAACAATAACAACAACAATTGTTTTAGTCTCAGAGGGTCCTTAATATTACAATAGCTGCCGTTATTCATTACCTTACATACATTATCTCAGTTGATCCTCACACTAACCTAGTGAGATAAGTACTACAGAAGTATTATCCCCATTTTACACTGAATTCAAGGAGACTAAGTGACTTGTGAATTTTCACACAGGTAGTACTCAAGTCAGAGGTGTGGTTCACTTAATTCCCACAATTCCCTCACAGGCAGGATTTAAACTCAGAGCTTCCTGACTTAAGTCCCATATCCTTTCCACAACACCACGCTACCTCTCCATTATTATACTTCATATTATTTCAGTGTGCTAAAGGTTATGTTTAGGGCATCTAGGAGTCAAAGACTTTCTCTAGTTTAATCAACTGGTGCTCAGGGAATAGTTTATTAATTCAACCAATGTTTATTGAATTCTTGCCATTAGCCTAGACACTGTGGGAAATAAAAAGGAATGTAAAATAATTTCTAATAATGCTTATAATCTAGTTTGAGTAGGAGATGGTGGGAGAAATAAGGCATGTGTGCACACATGTATATATTTAATAAAATAATGCCAGAGATGCCTCAAGGTGGAATATTTTAAATTACCAAATAAATTCTACAGATAAGAAGTACTTTAGGATTTCAGAGGATGGAAAGATGATTGTGAAGTGCAATAGTCTGAGAAAGCATGATGGAGTGGGGAACATGATCTGGACTTTGAAGAACTAGTAGGATGTGGATAGAGAATTTGTGGAATGGAGGGAGGATTCCAAATGAGAAATGTGTGGTGGGTATGTGTGTGATTTATGCAGAAAGTTGTGGGAAGACCAGAAGAATTTAGAGATGATTGGTTTTAAATTAATAAACTCTTGCAGTATCAGACTCTTCACCAAAGCTCTCAAAGTCATATGTTTCAATAATATGTTTCTAAGAAATAGTGGTAGATGTGACATATATAGATTTGCATTGGGGCATGGACTCATGTAAGTGTAAATTCAAGATGTTAAAGGTAAAGAAGGGGCAACTAGGGGGTGTAGTAGACAGAGCATTGAGCTTGGAACCAGGAAGACTCAAATTCATGTATTTAAATCTGACGTCAGACACTTTCTAGCTGTGTGATCCTGGGCAAGTTACTTAAACCTGTTTGCCTCAGTTTCTTATCAGTCAAATGAACTGAAGAAGGAAATGGCAAACCAATCCAGTATCTTTGCCAAGAAATCCAAGTCTAATAAAGCATCAAGTTAATGAATCAATCCTTGGCCACACCTACCTACTGTTATGAAGAATAATAGACTGAAGAATGGCTTAATATTTAATTTAGGTACAAAGGTGGGGAGCTTAGTGTCAGTTTAGATTATGTGAAGTTCCAGATAATTGTTGATCTCATTTCACAAAATGGTTTGGGCTTGAGATTAGTTTGTACAACCAACCACAGCTCTGAAATTATTTGAGGTGGATGAAACTGCGCTGTTTCCCAGATGCCATCAGATCTCCTGCCCACCTACATTTTTCCTTTCCTTTTTTTCTCCCTTTTCTTTAGACTCTTCCCTCCTTTTGCCATAATCTGATTTACAGATAAATATGCTAAACAATAATTATATAAATTAAACTATAATAATCATGCAAATAATCAATAATTATTAATAGTATTAAATAACAATTATATAAATAATATAAGCAATAATTATTATATAAATTGAAAAGGAGGAGCTCCATTAAAGCCATCCTATGATGCCTCATCATGTCAGGGAGGTGACCCAGGCCTCTCAGAGGCTATGCCAGTGTAGCATGAGCTCTGGAAGGTCCTAGCCAGTTGGAAATATTTAAAATATAGACTGAGCAGCAAGTTATGTTCTCCAAAATGGGGGAGGAAGGGGACAAACATTTATTAAGCATCTACTATGTGCTAGGACTGTGCTAAGTACTTTACAAATATGGTCTCATTTGATCTTTTCCACAACTCTGGGATGTAGGTTCTATTATTATCCTTATTTTATAGTTGAGGAAACGAAGGCCAAAAGAAGTTAAGTGACTTTCCCGGGGTCATTCAGGTAATTAGTATCTGAGACTGGATTTGAATTCAGGTCTTTCTGAGTCTAGGCCTAGCACTCATTTGACTGAGCCACTAAATTCAGTCAGGCTTATCATCAGTAGGCTACAGGGCTATGCTTTTTTTGGCTACCCCACTTGCATGGAGGGGTTGCAATCTGAACTGGAAAAGGAAGTACTCACGTAGATGAACTCCTGTATCCTTGAAGCATTGAAGTAAACAGAATATTAAGATCATAGATTTAGAACTAGTAGGGACATCAGAAGTCATTGACACCAACCACTTTCATTTGATGAAGAAAATGATGCCCAGAGAAGTTAAATGACTTTCCCAGGATCACATAGCTAGTAAGTTCCCGAGTTGGTACTTGAACCTAGTTCTTCTTGACTCCAAAGTCCAGTACTCTATCCACTATGCCACATGGAAGAAAGCTTTATGTAGTCTTCCCAAGTAATTTGTGCCACAATACCAGCAGATAGGAGTAGATTTTACTAAAATAAGAATGCTTTATAACAGTCATGTTATTACCCCAATTTGAGAATATATTTCTGGTCAGTATTATGGATTGTAATTCTTAGGGAATAAAATATTTCATACTACGTAGGACTAGAAGATTTAACATAGCTGTTCCCTAACTTTAGGATTATGGGCACCTAGGTGGCACCAGTGGATAGAGTGCCAGGCCTGGAGTCAGAAAGACTTATCTTCCTGAGTTCAAAACCAGCCCCAGAGACTTACTAGCTGTGTGACTCTGGGCAAGTCACTTAACCCTGTTTGCCTCAGTTTCCTCATCTGTAGAGCTAGAGAAAGAAATGGCAAACTATTCCAGTATCTTTGCCAAGAAAACCCCAAATGGGGTCCTGAAGAGTTGGACAGGACTGAAAACAACTGAACAACAAGAACTCTAGGATTACAGATGTTAATAATGTCTTATTTGTGCAGTTATATGGTCTGTGTAGTTAGAATCCCACCCTCTTCTTTCCATTTCCTTATTCTGGTACCCGAAGGCAGAAGCCTATTCTTCTGTACAGGTAAAGGGAAAAGTTCAGATTTTTTGCTCGTCCCATTGCTGATGAGGAAGGAATAGTGAAAAAACAACAGCAACAACAAACAACACAGGAATTGGAGTTCAATAACCTAGGTTTAAATTTTAAAAGCTACTCACGACATCTGTGAAGTTGGGCAAGTATTTTGCCATCTCTGAAATTTATTTTCCTCATCCATAAAATGAAAGGTTGGGCTAAAGTACCATTAAGTTTCCTTCTAGCTTTGAATACTACGATTGAAGGTACACCTTGGACTTTTGTCATCTGCTTTTATTAGCAATAAAGCAAGAGTTCTTCCCCTCCCCCCCTATGATAATTCACTTTCACATAGCACTTCAGGATTTACTAAGCATTTTCCTCTAGGCTTTAATATTCACTATGCTACTTGAAGAGGAAAGGGAAGTAAATAGGGAATAAGCATTTATATAGTGCCTACTATATGCCAGGCATTGTGCTAATAAGTACTTTGCAAATGTTATCTCATTTGATCCTTACAACAACACTGGAAGAAAGGTTCTAAAATTATCCCCATTTTATAGTAAGGAAACTAAGGCAGATGACAGTTAAATGATTTGCCCAGGGTCACGCAGCTGGTAAGTATCCAGGGCTGGATTTGAACTCAGGCATAGCACTCTATCCACTGTGCTACCTAGTGACCTGAACTCCCAGCCTGAGTTTTCCTCATTTAAAATGGGGATAAGAATGCTTGTACTACCTACCTCCTAGGGATGCTTTTGTTGAGTCGTTTCAGTCCTGTCTAACTCTCTGTGCCTCAATTTGGGGTTTTCTTGGCAAAGATACAGGAGTGATTTGCCATTTGTTTCTCCAGCTCATTTGACAGATGAGGAAACTGAAGCAAACAAGGTTAAGTGACTTGCCCAGGGTCATACAGCCAGTAAGTGTCTGAGGCCAGATACTTCTTTCGGTCTCCAAGGCCAGAGCTCTATCCATGCATCACCTACCTGCCCCAAGGGTATTGAGAGGAAAGCATTTTTAAGCCCTAAAACATTTAAAAAATGTGTTTTTAGTCTGGACCTGTGATTTCATCTGTGAAGGAAACTCCTGGGAAGTAAGCCCCCTCTTCCAAAGCAGATCAGCTGCTGGTGTGCAACATAGTCATAAAGAGTTATAAAGTGATGTCTTAGAGAGTTACAAATTATAATTATTAGTGAGGTGAGAATAGCTTTCACCAATATTAATATTGTCAGCATTATCTTACTCCCCTAGATTACAAAACTCATCCATTGTCAATAAATTGCCTGGGGTTTGGGCTCACCTCTACCACATTAGTTCATCATTTTTGAAAATGAAACATCTTACATTTTCATAGTGATATGTTGAATTGCATACCTTATTAGCAGCCATGGAAAAGTATTTAAAAGCAGTGGCATTATTTTGTGGTACTGCAGGATTGCCTTCTAAATACATCTAGGAAAAACAGAGAGTAAGTATAAGGGAGGACACTATTGAATCTGTAGGGGATGTTTCTGAGTGATCTTGCCTGATGGCAGAGCAATGAATTAGATAGGTGCTTCCCTTTTTGATCCTGGCACACTTGTACTCTTCTTATACAGTTACACAATTTTCCATATGGGAGGGATCTTAGAGATTATCAGTCCAATCTGTATCTAACAGTAGGTATAATAACATAGCTAACATTTATATAGTGCTTTAAGGTTTGCAAAATGCTTTACAAATATTGTCTCATTTTATCTTCACAATAACCCTTGGGGTAGTTGTTGCTATTATCCCCATCTTACAGATGAGGAAACTGAGGCAGACAATGGTTAAGTGACTTGCCCAGGGTCACAGAGCTAATAAGAGTCTGGGGCAGGATTTGAACTGAGGTTTTCCTGACTCCAGATCTAGCACTTGATCTGTGCCACCTAGATGTACTTATAACATTTCCAATAAATGGTCATCTAACCTCTACTTGAAGACCTCTAGTGAAGGGAAACCTCTGAAAGTGGCCATCACTACATCACTGATTCTTAGGAAGTTTTTTTCTTATATAAAACTTAAATCTGTCTCTCTGCTACTTTGTTCTTTGTTTGCTCCTAGTTCCATCTTCTGAGATCAAATACAGCAAAACTAATTTCCTTCTGCACAACAGCCTGACAGCCCTTTAAATACTTGAAGACAGATATCATGACCCTGCTAAGTCTTCTCTTTTCCTGGATAAATATCCCAATTTCTTCCAATGACCCTTATATTGCAGTCACCTCAAGATCTTGGCCGTCCCTCCTTAGACCCTCTCCAGCTTATCAATATCCTTTGTAAAGAGCAATTGTTTCTGTTCCTGCCAGAAACTCTGAGGTTCTTCCCCTCCCAGACTGATTCTTTTATGAAGTCAAACTAGGCCATCTTTTGCCTCAATTCTTACCTAGCCCTTAATCACTGACTGGGCTCAGACAAACTTAGACCTGGGAAAGACCTTAGCTTAAAAAGGCTAAGGTCTCCCATTGCAGCAGGTACCATGTTCAGTTGTACTGACCTATGTCTTGCCACTGGGCTCTGATGACTCTGGGAGAGAGAATGAGGCTGATGACTTTGCACAGCCTTGCCTCACTTAAATCCAATTCACTTGCAAGTCACGATGTCTCCCTCTTGATGTCATTGGTCCTCTTTGAGAATAAAGGACAAACAACAAAAACAATCCTTCCTAAAATGAGATGCCCAGAACAGTACACAATTCCTCCAGCTTCTTGCTCTACCACTTGGGACTTAGAATTATGAGAAGCCTGATCTCTGGGAGCCAGAGAAAGTAGATGACCAACTCTAAAGGGGTCTCACATTCATTTGGGTGTGAGCTTCAGCCTCTGGGCACTTGGGCCTGCTTGGAAAATGATTCTAAGTTATTTCTTTCAGATCCTGAGGTCCAGCATACCAAAAGTAATGGGGGAGAGAAAGGAGGTGACTTCCAGAGACCAGGTGATTAGGATATTAGGGACGGCATCACATGCAGTATCTCCTTGGTGTGCCTCATTCTCTTCCATCCTGGGATGTGTGCAGAGTATGATTTCAGCCCAGCATCTAGAGACTTAATTACTAACTTACTTTTCTTTCCCTGGCAGGGTCTCAGAACTACAAGAGGTCTTCAGCCTTTAAAAGACAGAAGTACTAAGAGTCCTCTTAGATTCCATGCTCAGTCATCCCAGGACCCCCAGAGAGTTGGCGGTACCTTATCAATTAACCTGTCATTCCCCATGCAATGGCAAACCATTTTCCAGCTCCAGTTCCCCTTGTCTTTCATGATTCAGACTCAACATATGCTATGGTAAAAATATCTTCCCCATCCAAATAATCCCTGTAGTCTCATCTTCATCTGTCTCAGTTCTATGGCTCCACAACCCCATATCCTCTTCTGCCCTCCCATTGCATGGTGCCCTCTGAAGCCTCCACTCTCTTGATGATAAATTCCCTTTTATCATGAATCTTTTCATTTCACACTCTTTCCATCTTCTTTTGCTAATTGAAACCTGGCTGCCCCAGGAGACACACCATTCCTGACCAGCTGCCTTGGTGCCTACAGCAGAAACCATGCTGTGGAAGACTTGAACCTTTTAGCTTCCAAACTCCCACAGTGGAGACCTGGCTGTATACACTAGTGATCACCTTACAGTGGTCTGCTATATCAAGGTTATCTAGGCTAGCTCCAACCAGGCTTCATTTAGCTTTCTGGACATCTTCTTACCAGATGCTTTGCCTTCCATACCAGAGATGATACCCCTTTAGGACTTAATGCTTTTCAGCTCTAGAGCTCTCATACTAGAGCTTCTACTGTTCTGACTGGTGGATGCCTCACTTGGCCCACTAGATTTAGGCCAGCTCCAGGGATGCTTCATTTTATTTCCTGGACATCATTTCACCAGCTGCCTTGATACTATGCATGTACCTTTTATCTTTCTGCTACTCAGTTCCAGAACCATAATTAAATCTACACAGCCACTGCTACTGGAAAGAGTGCATACATCTACTTTGTGTTGGCTTCATTCTCTATTCCTATAACTTTTCCAGACCAATATATCCGTCTCTGATCACCACTCCCTTGTGTGTGTATGTTGCCTCTCCCTATTAGAATATAAATTCCTTGAGGTCAGGGACTATCTTTGCTTTTATATTTGTATTCCCAGTGCCTAGCATTGTGCTTGGCATATAGCGCTTAATAAATGATTTTTCATTCATTTTTTTCTTCCTCCCATGGTTCCTGAAGCATTTCTTATTCTACCAAGATGTCATACTGTTTGTGCCTCACTCTCACTTATACTGTCTGCTTGCCACTGTTACTCAGCAATCTTTCTTTTTTTGAGATTCATTAAATCCAAATCCTTGTAGTCATCTACCTACCTCCATCTACCTCCCTCATTTCTCATGAGGTTCAATAACTGACTGTCTTCCTCTCCTTCCCTAAACTTCAATAAGTACATTAATGTTCCTCAACACCCTGGTCTCTGAGTTCATCAACCCTGAATATATGAGAAGAGCAGGCATGTTCTCATGGTTACTAATGAAAATTGGTCTAGAAAGTTTAAAGAGTTGGTCACCTATTGACAGAGAGATCGGCAAGCACAAGAGTGAAACTTGAAGAGTTCTGTAATGGAGACAGAAAGAAAAGAGGAAGACAGCTACATAATACCATCCCAAAACATTAACAACAAATCTACCTTTGGGAAATTCAAATTAGGAGCTATGACCCTATTGACTTAGGTGAGCCTGGAGGTGCATTCTGATTCAAGAGAATAGAAAGAGAGACGTGGATTGACAGGGGACATCAAGAGAAGTAGCATCGAGGAGCATCTAGAGCTGGAGGGGAAGTGTAACTTGCTTAAAAAGACCCATAGGTGGTGGATTCCTTTTATGCTGGAGTTTATCGTCGCATGCACGTGTAGAGGATTACTTTACCAGATGACCTGCATGATTCTTTTCCCACCTACTTGGTTACACACAGCTTTCCAAAGACCAGGATTTTCCTGAATAAATGGATTTAATGATGTCCTCCATAAAATGGAGTTAATGTACTTTTTATTTTAGACCTTTATGTCCATTTGTTCCCATAAAACCTTGATGCAGCACAGCTGGTCATTTGCTTCTATAGATTATTATTTTCTCATAAGGATTCTAGTTCATCCTTGATGTGTCACAATAAATTTTGAAGTATTAATCAAAAGAAAATATGTACCTTTCCCAGAAATGCCATGGCATTTGCACTTCCTGCCTTGGCCGCCTTCAAGAAGTAGTAGAATGCTTTCTAAGGAAGAAGGAAACAGTATCACTGACATTCACAAATATGCTCAAGAAAATGACTAATTAAACTGAGTTTTTGCTTTTGACTATAAAAATGGCTATTGTGGGAGTATATGTTTAACATTTATATGAACAAATATTGCTATCTGTGAAAAATTAATAAAGTCTATGCTTGACCACCTCATTGATTTAAGAAGGATGAAAATAAATTCCTACAAGAAGTGAGAACTTACTTTGCTGATCTAGAATAGAATACTTTCTATAATTGGAATAGAGGCACCCAGATGTGTGAGGACTTAGTCAAGGGTACCAGTAGCAGTAAAACAAATGTTTTTGTGTGAAACATTACTAAAAATAATGTATTTATGGACTAGAAACCTTGAACCTTTGGGTTGACAATTATTTGAAACATTTGTATCCCTATTTCACAAGCCTGTGTCAACTGTGGGTTACTATTGAAATCTTTTCTATTGTTTTATGACCTATGATGGTGAAGAATCACTCAAAGTAGACATAGCTACATGTTTTTTGTTTTTTTTTTACAATAATCAGTTGAAGCCGTAGGGACCTTAGAGGTCAATTAGTTCAATATCCATGTATTATAGAGGAATAAACTAGTCCAAGGAGGCAAAGTGACCTCCCAAGGTCACACTTGCAGTAAGTAAGAGATCTGGCATTCAATACCATGTCCTTAAACTATCCATCCAGTCCTCTTTTCCACTACAATATGAAGTACTAGTAATTGAATTTAGGTCTTCTGGCAGATACGAACCTGAGACCAATACCTTTTTAAATGAAACTGGAGAGAGCCAGAGATGGGGGCAACACACCTGATTCACACCAGGGACTGAACATAAATTGAATGGTTTCCCAAATGAACCAGGGCTGAACTGGCTATACACTGAGTCTCCTCTCCTCCATCAGAAAGGTCTTTATGATCGTCTACTTGGAATAATCAAGGGGAACAGCTATAGTAATCAAATCTGGACAGTTCCCTCAGACCTGTTTGTGGGGAAGTAGTATTTGTTGCTCATATTCAGGGGTGTAGGTGAGGAGGAGATAAGTTTTTATTCCTCTCCCAAAAGAAGTATAAATAGCTAATATATATAATTCTATTAAACAAGAATTGCCCAGAGGCATATTAACTAATGCCTTATCTTAGAATCATTTCCTGGTTCCTATTTCTTGAACTTAAGCAGGCACAAAGTATCATGGGGATAAATGTCTTAATAATGATGATAATGACATATGCTTTAAATATGTTATCTCACAAGAACTTCTTTAAGCAAGTACTTTATATATTACTAAGACCATTTTATAGATGAGGAATTGAGGCTCAGAGGTGTTAGGTGATTTGACATGGTCATACAAGTAGAAAGTGTCAAAGGCAGGGTTTGAACTAGGTTCTTCCTGACTTCAAGTTCATTACTTTTCCCCCATTACACCTAGATGCCCCCGATTTATATTAAAACATTCAATCATTCAAACCACAAATATTTATCAGATGGCTAATATGTGCTACATGTGCAGGGCATACAAAAATGACACAGACTTGATGCCAGCCCTAAAGTAATTTACAATCTACTAGGAGAACAAGATGTACACAGCTAGCTATAGCTTGAAATGTGTCACAGACATTCCCCCCGAAGAGTATAGAAAAAGTACTTTAGAATTTCAGATGGAGGAGAGATCAATTTATAATAGACTGGGGTCATTAGGAAAGGTTTCATGAAGAATTTGAACATAGCCTTGAAGTATGGGTAGTATTTCAATAAAAACAGGAGGTGGGAACTGGGGACTAGCAGAAAGCATACTAGCTAAGAGTGAACAGTATAAACAATTTCATGAAAAGAGAAAAGCAAATTAAGTGTGTAAAACATTTTTGTCTAGGGTAATTGACTATAGGTATAGGGAGAGTAATGTATGACAAACCTGGAAAAGCAATTTCAGCCTAGATTGTAGAAGGCTTAGAATGCCAGACTAGAGGATTGGAAAGTAATAGGGTTGTCTGGAAAGAGCGCTGCAGAGGGTCTGCGGTTTTAATACCTACAACCTATGTCACTTGGGATATGTCATTTAAGCTATCTGGGCCTCAGTTTCCTCAAATGTGAAAAGAGGGGAATGGATCAGATGACCTGAAAAATCTCTTTCATTACCAAATTTATGTTCCTGCCACATTTAAGAGCTATTGAAAAGTTCTGAGTTTGATTTGTACTTGTATGCCCAGTGCCTAGCACATAGAAAGAGCTGAAGAAATGCTTTTTTCTTTCCCCCCTCCTTAAAGAGAGTGTTTAAAGTACCTTAAGGGCTTCCCTTAAGTACATAAAGAAGATACTATGTAATATCCAAACCTAAACTAAGAAAATTTATGATAGTATACATTTTCAATATTATATAGTTTCCTTGTAAATTATGAAGCCATTCATAGTAAAATAACTTTTTAAATTGTCTTTCAGAGAATTATAGCATCTAGAACTGGAAAGGTCCTTATAGATCATTGAGTCAAATTCTCTCATTTATAGATGGCAAAATTGAGGCCCCGAGTGCTAGAGAGATTTGCCCAGAATCACACATCAAGTTAATGGCAGAGTTGAGGCTAGAACCCAGGTCTCCCGACTCCTAGGTTAGTCCTCTAGCTACTACATTACAAATACCCTGCAATATATCTCTCTCTAAAGCAACTATTTAGAAGAAGAAAGAATGCACCTAAGCCTTTCTAAGAGAGTAAACTGTTCCCTTTCACACACATTAAACCTTTGGGGAGTTGTTTTTAAAATGATGTGCCCCTAGAGGCCCAAAGGAGTTGTTGAATCTCTCCACGATACCTAATTTACCCCGGGGGAGTAGTTTACTCACTTGACAACGACAGAAGTCCCCACAGTGCTTTGCTTGTGTTTTCTTTGTTTGGATGGGGGAGGGAAGGAGACTTTCTTGGAAAATCTGGTAGTACTTCTTCCTGGTATCTACTCTAATCCTTCCTCTTTGATTTTACTAGTCGACACCCAAGATGTACCTGCCAAATCTAATTAATTCTGAGCCTGTGTGCATATTTATAAGTACAAATGACATTAATATTGTGTAGAAAATTCAAGATAATGTAATCAAAATTGCACAAACCTGTATTTAAAAAAATTATTTTAAAAGTCTTTGGAGGGGTAAAAAGATGCCTTTGACCTCATTCCCCCTCTTAATTTTTTAAGGCAATGTCTAAAAAACAGTAAGTGACCTGGGTTAATCAATCAGAAAACCCTAAATGGTGGTTGATGGGGTGCCTGGGTGCTAGTACTCAGACCCCAATTCCAAGACCATATTTCCCTTTAGCCTCAAAAACACTATCCCAGGCAGTTTCTCCCCAGCCCAAGGATATTATGCCTAGCATTTACTCATGAGTGGGCCCCAGCAAAACATTTATCTCTGTCCTTGGCACAGTAACAAACTGTACCTGTAGGAATTATTAGTTTGAATTGGCTTTGGACAGTCTCATAAAGATATTTGGCACCCACTGGACTATCTATACCAACTCACTACCTCATTATTATATGCATCCTGGGCTCTTCATTATGTATATCCTAGACTTAAGGCATATGTGTACTCCCTACATCTATCTTGTCAAACAAGACATTGATTAGTGGCAAACTGGACAATCCTCAGTTGGCCCTGACCGCTAGTTAACTTAGTGATGTAGCAGACCTAAAAACCTCACCTCTCTGTGCCCCTCCCCGCTTGAACTTTTCCTGGTGAACTTTGGGTAAAATACCTACACAGCAGACACAAAAATTGCATGTTCCTTTAAGAACTGACCACTCCTTAACCACTCCCTAATTCCGCCCTGAATCACCTAGTTAGCATATTTGACACTTGTTTTACTATAGTTTTTCCTATAAAAACTTTAGCTGTACCCCTCTAAGGACACAGGCTCCTTAAGAACTTTTACCTGCTGAAGAGCGTAACAGTAACTCTTTGCCAACTTGACTTAAAGATTGCTTGAGTATATGAATTCTTTTCGCACCATCCTGTCCTGTATTTTGGTCCTTGGGGACAGGGGTCCCTGAATCCCTCAAACTGCATCTGTGGTTACATGAAGCTACTTGGAATTCTGACAGTTAGGCTTTAGCTAGCCCAAAGAACCCCCTCCATTCATGGATAGGAAAGTGTTTCTGTAGCTGGAGAGGCCATCCTGTGGACAGAGGCCCAGGGGTCTATGCTGGGGATAGTTGTCCAATGAATGACTGAAGTATTGCCTCTGGAACACTTACATCTCTGAGGTAAATTAACTGACTCAAATTTACTTTGATGTTTCAATCAAACTTATAAGGGAATAATGTGGTACAGTAGAAAGAACAACGAGTCTGGGGTCAGGGTTTTAGGGTTTGAATCTTGACTGCCATTTATTACTTGTGTAAACTAGGAAAAATCAATCTCCCTGCACTTTGTTTTCTTCTTCTGTAAAACTTTGAGGTTAGATTAGATGAATTCTAAGGGCCCTTCTAGATCTGTCTATGATATAGTCTAAGAAGGTAAGTTGTTCAATAAATGAATATTTATTAAGCTTCTAATTGCAATGTATGTACCATTTGCAGTGCTAGGGACACGAATAAAATAGCCTATTGTCCTCAAGGAGCTTATACTATACCAGAACAGAAGACATGTATAATACCTATATACGTCTTCTTTGATGGACCTGATGTGAAAGATGATTTTTAATAATCATTATCTTGGAGATTCAGAGCTTTCCCCAGCTCCCTTCTCCCAAAGTTCAGTTTCTTCTTCAGAAGTACATCACTGATAATGAGATTGCACTGTGCTCCTTATCCTGATCAACCCCCTAACCCAAGCTACTTCCTTATCCAGAAACCAACCAGTGTGGGAAATCTTTCTTAAAGACTTACCCAGGCCAAGATCTAACCAGACAGTAAAAGAAACTTTAAGTTTGGGATAATGGGTATATTCCTGCTCATTGTGTTCGCTCCCACAAGTCTGGGAAAATGTCGATTCTCCCTATCGTCGAGACAGGGTGATATGGAAATTCATGTCTCTTTGACCAAGATTTAGGTGACCTAAGTCATGTACCCCAAGACCCTCATTTTAATATAGCCCAACTCTCAGTGTGTTAACCAATCAGAGTTGATTGGCATCCCTCAGGAACACCTATTCTTTGAAGGATACATAAACTGTGTACCCCAACCCCAAAGGGAGATCTCAGTTCCAGACTATTAGTTCCAAACCGTTAGCCCCCATGCACTGCAAGACTTCCCACTTTGAGAGAATAAAACATGGACTTGGACAACCTAGCTGTGGTTGTCTTTCTTAGACCAAATTCTCAGAGGCTGATACTACATAAGTATATACAAAATAAAAAAATATTACACACACACACACACACACACACACACACAATACTTTTGTGGGCAGCTAGGTGACTAAGTGGATAGAGTGCTGAGATGGAGTCAGGAATACTCATCTTTTTTGAGTTCAAATCTACTCTCAAACACTTATTAACTTTGTGACTTTGGACAAGTCACTTAACCCTGTTTGCCTCAGTTTCCTCATCTGTAAAATGAGCTGGAGAAGGAAATGGAGAAGGAAACCATTCAAGTATCTTTGCCAAGAGAACCCCAAACGTGGTCACGAAGAGTCAAATATGACTGAAAAATAACCTAACACAAGATGCCTTTTTTTGGGGGGGTGGGGCAGGATAGGTAGATCTGAGAATCATCAGCACAGACATGTTAATTAAATCCGTGGGAGTTGATGAGATTACCAAGAGAAGTAATATAGAGGAAGAAGAGAAGAAGGCCTGGAACAGAACCTTGAAGGACACCTATAGTTAGAGGGCATGATCTGGAGGAGGATCCAGCAAAGAAGATTGAAAAGGAGTGGTCAGATGGGTAAGAGGAGAACCAGGAGATAGTGATGTCTGCAAAACCTAGAGAAAAGAGAGTTTTATCAAGAGGAGAGAGTCATCAAAAGTGTCAAAGGCTTCAGAGAAGTCAAGGAGAATAAGGACTGAGAAAAGGCCATTGGATTTGGCAACTAAGGGAATGTTGGTAACTTTGGAGAGAACAGTTTCAATGGAATGATAAAGTTGGAAGTCATATCATAAAGGGTTAAGAAGAAAATGAGAGGAGAGACAGAGCAACCTACTGTAAGTGGCATTCTGAGGAGGTTAGCTACAAAGGGCAGAAGAGATATAAGATGATAATTAGCAGGGATGGAAGGATTAAGTGAGAATGGTTTTGTTTTTTTTTTAGGATGAGGGAGAAATAGGCATATTTATAGGCAGAACAAACCAGGAGACAGAGAGATTGAAAATAAGTGATAGGGTAATAGAAGAGACAATCTATTGGAGGAGATGAGTTGGAATGAGATCTCCTGATAAAGAGGATTAGCCTTGATAAGGAGTAGGACCATTTCATCTTACTGTGATGATGTGTGAGATGGGGTGAGGGTGGAGATAGGGCAGAAGGCATCTGAGTGATAGAAGATGAGGAAGAGAAAAGAGGGAACTCATGGCAAATGGCCTCTTTTTTTTTTTCAGTAAAATATGAGGCAAAGATCTCTGCGGGGAGGGGGGGGGGGGGGGCTGGGCTGAGGGAGAGTCACATGAAGTTTGAGGAGGAATGAAAAGGTTTGGAGGAGCTGTGGAAAGTGGGCTAATGAGTTGATAAAGGAGGTCTAGTAGGATTGCCTAGCAGCAGTGAGGGTCCAGTTGAAGTTGTGTATCATAAATTTGTAGTGGACCCAGTCAGAATGGCTGTGTGATTTTCTCCACCTTCATTCAGCAGCATGTGCATAGGAGTGAAGGTGGCAAATGGTGAGGTTTTCCTGGGTATAATTGGAAATATGAGAAGGGAGATAGGGATTCAAGAGAAGAAAACAAGGTAGAGTTGAAATGGTTCACCAAGGAGTCAGGATGGAGAGAAGAGGAGAGAGTGATCAGTGCAAGGGAGATGGTCTGGGAGAGAATTGAGGGGTCAAGGGATTAGAGGTTATGGGGCGATGAAGAGTAGAGTTTTGTAAGGGAAGGCAGAGGGAAAGGTGAAAAACCAATAGGATATGGTTGGATAAGGGACTTTTGGAATTCTTGAACATGGAGTTGGTGCCATCAAAGGTATGTCCATCTTTGTGGGTGGCTGAGGTAGAGTAGAGTAGTAGTTCATGGGAAGTGAGTAGGTTGAGCAACTGAGTAGTTGAGAGAGAGAGAGAGAATATATATGTTAATGTCTCTCAGTATGAGGGTATAGGTTGGGGAACAGAGAAAAAGTGTGACCCATGTACTGAACTCATTGAGTAAGGAAGAGGAATGACCTGGAGGTCTGCAGATGATAGCTGCCAGGATTTTGATTGGGTAGTAGAAATGAATATCATGGACCTTACAGGAAGATAAATTACTGAAAGATAGAGGTAGGGGGAGAGCCTGGAAGTGACAATGGGAAGCAAGGAGTATTCCAACTCTCTTGCCCTGACCAGTGATCTGAGAAAAATGAGTGAAGCTAGTCCTGAAAAGGATGGTCAGGAGGGCTGTGTTAACTGGGGGAAGTCAGGTTTTAGTAATAGCTAGTAGATGGAAGGAATGGGGGAGAAAAAGATTAAGGATGAAGGGAATTTTGTTGCCTAATGAACAGAGGGCACAGTGGAAGGGCTGGGTGGTGTTTGGATGATGAAATTCATTGGAACAACAACTCACATTTATGCTTGATATGTTTAGAAAACATTTTTTTCTTCATGATACCTCTACAGTATAGCAGTGTAAGTAGTATTACCTTCATTTTGCACATCAGCAAACCGAAGCTCAGAGAGGTTAAGGGTCCAAGGTCACATAGCTAGTAAGGGTCAGAACTGAGCCTTGAACCCAAGAATTCTGACTTCAAGACCAATTATCTTTCCATTTTACCACAATGCCACATTTGTCCTGTAGTACTTAGATGGGACATTTTTGTATCTAAGAAATTTGAAAGATTTCCCCCACCCCCTTACAGATTAGGCATGGGTGATCTTAAATAAGGAGGGAGAGAAGTACTAAATCAGAGTTCACTGTTAATGGGAAATGTGAAACTCTCACTATTTATTGATAAAAGATTTTGTTTTTCTCTGGAGGTTAATGTGAAGAAAGCCATTATAGCCTTGGACTTTTGGTCCAGAGTAAGCAGCCCAATGCAGTGGTAATAAGGTTCTGGAATTCCTTACATAAGAAGCTAAAACTCTGGTTATGAGATGTGTAAAAATTCAAAGAACTATAATATATCCATCTCAGATTGCACAGGCTAGCAGTTTCATTACATTTTATGAAATGACCTTTATTTGTATGAGGTTTACTCAGTCTCCACTATATCTCACATAAAACCTAAACCTCAGCATTAAAATAAAAATAACTCATAAAAATAAAGCAAGATCCCCCAAAAGAGCTAGCTGATAAGTAGAGTTCCTTATTGAATAGCTATTTTTATTACTTAGTAATAGGAAATTTAGAATACACAGAAATAGGGTACGTGGTCCTTTGAGAGAAAGACTGTGGCATGAATTAAATTGGGTAAGTGTTATAAAAGTATCATTTAAGAAATCCCTGTTGAAGATTCAATTCTGGGTTGGAGGGAGGGGTGTACCCAGAAATGACCCATGTAAAAATAAAAGTCATCAATAAAACTTATTCAAATTTTAAAATACCTATTTCATTCCCCCTAAATTAGATTTAGATTCTCAAAACATTACTAGGCTCTAGAAATTATCCCTTTCTAGTGTTTTGTCTTTTGGCACCTTCTATAGAAGACCTTTTTGTGAACAGTGTATTTTTCTTACCATAAATGTAAAGTGTTAATTACTTTTTCAATTTCATGGGATAGGTGGACTGGTTAATAAAAATGACTGAAAGGTGCTTTGCAAATACATGAAAATTTTAAATAATATTTTTAATTATGCTCTAAGTTAATTGCTTTAGTACTAAATATAGGCCCATGTCTAATGAGTCTATGACCAGGCCAAATCCCCAGCAGGATGAGTATAGGGATGCATGGATCATATTACCTGGTACAGGTGGGTTGGCCCACTATGGGATAGGATAGCTTTTTTTTGTGTGTGTGTATGGCAATTGGGGTTAAGTGACTTGCCCAGAGTCACACAGCTAGTAAGCGTTATGTGTCTGAGACTGGATTTGAACTCAGGTCCCCCTGACTCCAGGGCCAGTGCTCTATCCATTGTGCCACCTAGCTGCCCCTAGGATAGCTTTTACAAAGTTATCCTAGCCACCTTTTTGTGCGTAAGGACCTGCCTATCTAGTTCTGTTACCAATCAATAATGCAGATACCAGCAACAGTCTAAGATAGGATGGGAGGTTTGGTCTTTTTGAAAATTAGGTGCCAAGACCTATATCTTAGCCTTTCCTTCAGGGCTAGAGGTGAGAAATAAAAAAGTCAATTCCTCCTTTCCACCAAATCAGAGCTGAGCAGTCCCCTTCCCAGCCCCAACATCATTCCCTTGTTTCTGTATTACGTTATCTTTGAGAAGGATAACAGGAAGAGGTAGGAAGGTTACTCCTGGGTGATTTGTATCCCTTAAGAATTAGTGGAATAAAGTGCCCAGAGGATAAATAGATGGCTTCTTTGAAGTCCTCTCCATCCTTCTTTCCCTTCCCTCTAATTTCCACCCCCACCCCAAATCAATGCTCTTTGCCCTAAAGGCAAACTCATCTACAACTGTGCTAAGATTAATGGTTCATCCCATTCAATTTTTAAGGTTGAATTTTATATGTACATACATAGAAATCCTGTTCCAATCCTTTTCGTCCTGTTAGATGTAATTGTCCGAGAGATACCTAAGAATAATGATTAAAATGTTTATTTTAGCAACACTCAGTTTCATGAATACAGAAAGAACAATCAATTATGCATAATGTTGCTATGGTACTTGGATTCTTCAGGGATTCACCATCTTCCTTGCATTTTGTGTGTTTTAGGAGACAGCATAAAGCTACTAGTTTAGACATCTTTTTCTGAGCAGAGGAGCTATGTTCTTCTAAATACATCAAGAATTGTCTATTACTAGCCATTGTTTTTTAGTCCTGACAGTATGGTGATTTGATAGAATTTGGCAACTAGGTTCTTATACAAGAGGGGTTAAATTGTTGCCCTCATGAATTCCACTGAAATGATTTTAAAACATCATTCCATAATATATATTGATCATGGGTTCTTCTTAAGTCCATTTAAATGAAGGAGAATACTTATTAATGCCTTTTCTTTTTCTCTCTAAAAAAAGCATTTTTTTCCCCAAAAGAAATGTTCACTTGGAATAATAGAATGCAAATAACTCTGGAATTTTTATTATAATCATGCTTGCAGACTCAGGGAAGTTCCTTGTTTTATAGGAGACACAAACTAAGGAAAGCCATTGGATAAAACAGAAGTGGGATAGAAAAGGATACACCTTTCCCTTCTGCACTCTGTTAGGTGCATAGTTAATTAAGTCCCTTGTTATTTTGCATGTCCTAAAAGTGGAAGCTCATTTGTGTACATTACTTGTATCTGAATATCTCCTCTTTCTGCCAAAAATTTATAGTATTGGTATACATCCCAATCCAAAATCTCACTGTTAGAATTCAGATTTTCAGGTCTCTCGGCTAGTGTCACTTTTTCCATGGGGACACCTTCATTTTTTTTCAATTTATCAGCAACTGTGAATAGAAACATACCCAGGAATAATCAGGTATATACATGTGAATGATCACAGCAGAAAGTACAATGCTATGCAGATCATTCTTAAATTACACAAAAACCTAGTCAAGTAACTAAAGCAGAAGAGACTGCTGAGTATATAATTGTCATTGTTATTTTTAATTTAGTGATTCCTGCATATTTTTTTAAACAGACATCCAAGGAGCCTAGTTATTTATTTCCAGCTTTCTAGATCATCAAGTGTGTGGACCTTAATGGACACTTAATATTTGTTGAGTTGAATTTTGAGTGAGCTCCATCTCAACGACTATTATCCCACTTGTACCCGAGCGGATTCTGAGGTCCAAAGATGCCACAGGGGTCCAATTAGTGATGAGGTCTAGAGGTTAGGGGTCTTGGAATCCCAAAATCACTGACACGCAGGTCCTGCCCGAAAGAATTCGACCCAAGCCTTCTTCAGCTTTATTGAAGGTTTATTGAGGTTTATTGAAGATTCGCCATATTACCTAGACTCTTAAGGAATCTGAGAGTTATAGATTATACAATTATAATTATAGATTATAAGACTATAAGAATCAGAGAAGTGGCTAGATTATAAGAATCCCAGCTGATAAATTTATTTTCTAAGTTGACAGTTTTCTAAGTTGTCCTGCTTCTTTGGTACTGGTGAGGTGGGGCTTTCTTAATGCTTAGCATAATGACTAGCACATAGTAGGCTGTTAATAAATGCTTATTGACTTGACTGGCTTGACTTTGTGACATTTATCAATTCAATAAGCATATCACCTATGCCTTTCTTTTTCACCTGTGAATTCACTGGCATAGTGAAACTCCCTGTGAGGGGAAACTCTCTTCGTTGAAGGTCAGTACCTTTTCTGTAATTTACAATTTTAGAGAGCTGCCAGTGATTATGTTCTGTGGTGGAGAACATAGAAACAAAATTTTAGTTCTGCCTTCTGTCTACTGGATTCTCTCAAGCCAAGGGTATAGGCTCATAAGCTTTGAACCTCATCTTCAGTGTATTGTTAACAAGATGACAAATACCCAGGACAGCTGAGCTCATACCTTGTCAAAGGATTGACTTTGTCCCAGGAAATTTCTCATAAAGTGAGAAATTATAGGGAAATTTCTGGGAATCCTTGCTACATTTATCTTTTATATCCATCTCCATTCTTTAAGGGACATTCCATGCTCATTGATAACTTATAAAATGGAAAGGCTTTCCTTAGCTCTCCTCTTCTAGGGGTGACAGCCAGAATTTTGACTGTAGATCAAATTTACTTGAGCTTAGTATAAATACTAACATCATACACTCTTGTGCTGGTCAGTGTTCTCTACACTTGCTGAAAGCACAATTTTAGATCCTTTGCCTTACTTGCCCATAACTCTCCTGACCAAATATGCTGAAAAACTGTTCTAGCAAGCACTCTATGTGTCTCAGGCATTCATCTCTCCTTACTATGTTGGTACATTGATGAGCATACCCAATTTCCTTTGCCTTGTCTAACTTCCTTTGCCTCCCCCTCCTTTTCTTTCTCCTTTTTGAGACCCTCTTTGTCCTTTCTTTTCTTCTTTTCCTTCTTTTTCTCCTTTCTTCTCTGTCTTTCTTTTCTCCTCTTTCCTCTTCTCTCATTCAGCCTTTCCCTATTGAACTTAGAAATGGAATGTGTCTACTCAAGTCCTTGCCTCCTCTAACTATAGTCCTTCTGCTTCTCCTCAGGGTATTCTCCCAAATCTCTGTCTTTATTCTTTTTCAACTCAGATCTTTCTCTTCCCACCAAGAATACAGATATTGAAACGGAATTATAGCAAAACCTTGGTTACCTAGAGACCAACTTTTGGCACCCCCACGAACCTGGAAATATGTGCATGCTTGTGTGTATATAGTCAAAATGTATGTTTTGAATTTTTCATAAGTTAACTATGTAAATAGGTAGTATTTATAATAAAGTTAGGCCAATTTGCATATGAAATTATCTTTTATATGTGTGATATCTCAGATTCAAAAGTAGTCACATTTTTTCCCCTATTGGATTTTCCTTATATTCTGACAGTCACAAAGATGAATTATTCACTGTTTTGATAACAGAAATGTAAACATGTCATATATTCCAGAATAATTATTTCCACCCTTAGTGAATCTTTAGGAGGATTCTGCAGAACTACTTAAATTGTTTTCCCTGCTTGAGTCTTCCTCTGATGGCTCACCTTGGCTTGGAGGTGACCCTGGATTCTCAAAGTCTATGCCAGTGGAGCACAACCTTTGGCAGCCTCTATCAAGCTGGAAAAGCTTCAAGTATAAGCCTGGAGACAGACTGTCTGTCCTCCTAGCTAAATGTGGAGACTCTCATTGCTGGGAGTTTGGCCATCAGGTGATAAAATGCTTTTTAGCCACAGCAATTCATGAAACAGTCTGCTAAGCAGTGGAAAGGTTGTGAACTGTGTTCATAGTAGAAGTGCCCATACCAATGAAATCATGGATCTTTTTGCAGTATTAAAATAAGCAGTATAACTTATCTATTTGTCCCAGTAAAATTAAGTATAACATAGTAACTCTTTAATTTATAAAATTATTTAAGGAACAAGTAGTAGCCCAGGCTTTATTCTTGGTAGATCAACATCAAAGTTCACAAGTTATCTTCTATTGCAGTAAGAAAGTCTACAAATGTTTCTTTGTAATTTTCACTCCCTTAAATGTAAATGAAAAAGGCATTTATTAAATACTTATTATGTATAAGGCACTGTGCTAAGCAATAGAGGTTCAAATACAAAAAGCAAGACAGACCTTGCCCACAAAGAGCTTACATTCTAATACAGCTAGATCCTGATTAATGCCTAATTAATGCAAATAATGGATCTCCTGAAGTCATTGCATTGTTTGAATTTGTGCTGCATATTTCCCTGTAGGCTGAAACCTATGATCATATTTTATATAATCATAACTTTGAATAGTGCTACTGTCAGTTCCATTCCATCATATTCCCTTATATCATCTTATTATAGCTACTTAATGTTACACTCAACATTTTGATTTAAGAAAAGAACACAGTCTGAATTAGTAAAATAAATTTGTCTGGGCATATATGTTAAGAAAAATGAAAAGTGGTTCTGAGAATAATCATTTCAAACTGCAAAAAAATAGTTTTAAAAGAATTACAGAGGGTTCTGCTTCTGGGAGCCAAGATGGCAGAGTAAGAAGTAAGTCGCTCCCACCCTCCCTCATTGACCTCTGAAAGCCCAGAAAATATCACCCCAGGAAAAAACCTTGAACAACTGAACCAGCAGAAAGATGGGGTACAGCAGTATTGTAGCCCAGAAAGCTTGGGGGATTAATGGGAAAGGCCCTTTTTGCTCTGGGGGAGGGTAAGCAATACAGAACAGGAGGTGTCTCAGCAAGCTAGCAGAAAGTCCCACCTCAGCATACCAGGGGGAGATCCTGAACCCCAGGGTGGTGGAGCAGGCAAACACGAACACCAGGACCCCCGAATGCCTCAGTATGGGCAGGGGAACCAGTGGAAAATGGCTCAGAAAACCACCACATGCCGTGTCATCTTCTGGCAGCCAAGTCTCTGAGTGCCTCAGCAAAACTCTGGGAAGCACAATTCCAAGAGATAAAGCGCCAGGCTGAGAGATATCCTGTAATAGTGAAACATCCTTGTTCAAGGCCCCGGGTGAGCAGGAGCCAAAGAAAGGAGTACAAGGCCTGGGTGAGCAGGTGTCCTCCAGGGGCCAGATTCCCCACCCCTACCTGTGAGGGACTGTCTGATGTTGGCTACTGCCAAGTGGAGATTGTGGCAAGATGGGGTAGGAACTGGGTATTAGGAAGTAACCGGAGCTCACGCTCCTGAGGCAGGGGCTGTGCTAGGCGGAGTTGTGGGGGCTGGATATGGAGAAGTAACTGGAGCTCATGCTCCTGAGGCAGTGGGCAGTGCTATGAAGCTGGGGAAGGAACAGAATACAAGGAAGTAGCCGGAGCTCGTGCTCCTGAGGCAGGGGGCTGTGCCACATGGGAGTGGGATGGCAGAGAACGAGTTCCTTTGTCTAGCCCCCTCCCTAAGTGCAACGTCAACCCCAGACGCCTCCTTCCTGTGTCCTTCCTGACTTCCTGGGTCACGTACCTTCCCTTTGTGTAGCACTGACCCCAGACGCCTCCTCCCGGTATCTGGGCCTCACTTCCTAGGTCACGTGCTCTTTCTTTGTCTATGCACTAATTCCAGACGCCTCCTTCCTGTATCTGGTCCTAGCCTCCTGCGTCACTTCCTCTCCCTTGGTGCGCTAAACTCAGACATCCCCTTCCGGTATCTGACCCTACAATCAATGACTAGTAGGCGGGCTGAGGAGGAGGGGCTAAGTAGGTACTTAAGGAACGGTCCTGGTTGGAGCATGCGCTCTCTTTGCTCCTGCTCTCTTGCTATGGCCTTCCTGCTTGGCCTTGCTGTGATGGCCTCTGAATAAAGCTCGGGTGTTGGCACCTCCTGGTCAGCTCGTCTCTGTGTGTTTATCCGGGTAGGCACCGAAGACTGGTAAGTAGTATGACTCTGGCAGCCTGCTCCTTATAGGAGGAGAGTGCACGGTGCGGCCGGCACACCTACCCCTAGAGCTCCAGTGTTGCTGATTCCAGCCTAACCTCAGGTAAGCTGCCAGGGCCCTACAGCCTCCAACTGCCAGCAACTGAGGCCCTGGCATTCAAAGCCAGTGACCAGGCCTCGGGATCATAGCACAAGATGTTTGGGTCAGTGCCCTCTGCTCTCCAGCAGGAGAGCTCATTTTTTTTAAAAGTCAGGAAATAAGCAAACACCGTGAACAAAAAGAAATGTGCAATGACCACAGATTCTTATTATGGGGACAGGGAAAATCAAAGCAGAAATTCAGAAGAGGACAACATTGTCAATATACCCACACCCGAAACTTCAAAAGGGAATATGAACTGGTCTGAAGCCCAAAAAGCCTTCTTGGAAGAGCTCAAGAAGGATTTTAAAAGTCAAATAAGAGAGGTAGAAGAAAATTTGGGAAAAGAAATGAGAGGTATGCAAGAGAGAGTCAATAGTTTGGAAAAGGGCAAAAATTAACTGTAGAAAACGAGTCCTTAAAAAATACAATTGACCAACTGGAAAAAACAAACTGAAGAATTACAAACTCTTGGAGCAGCTAGGTGGCACAGTGGATAGAGCTCTGGCCTTGGAGTCAGGAGGACTTGAGTTCAAATCCAGCCTCAGACACTTGACACTTACTAGCTGTGTGACCCTGAGCAAGTCACTTAATCCCGATTGCCTCGCCAAAAAGCAAAAAAAAAAAAAATTACAAACTCTTAATTACTACAGTGATGTTGGAAAACAGAAATATAATATACATTAAAGTTATGGCTTCTTATTTTAATATGTCACATGATATAATCATAGGATTTGTATAATTTTAAGATGATTTCTTATTTAAAGACTGTATCACCATCTTGCCCAGGTTGAAAGTTCAGGAACTACTCACAGACTCAGTTCCACAACTGATCTTCATGTGAACTTGAACCTCCTCTATTTCTCACCTGAGCTGGTTTGCCCCTGGTCAGGCAACTTCGGAGGCCCCCTGATCACAGGGGCTCATTGTATTGTTGCTTAACTTAGTGTGGACACCTGGTCAGCATAGCCCACCATTGCTCAGAACTTCAGAGCCTGACCAATTCCAATTTCAACCTGCCCAGTAGCTGAGATTACAGGCTTGCACAACCATGCTCAGCAGGATGATTTTTTTTTCCATGTTTGTTATCTATCTTAAAATAAAATGTAAAATACTCACTGTAATTTGCTACATTCTTGTAATGGAAAAGTGCAGTTTCACAATTCTGTAGAACACTGATGCCCGACAAATATCTGTAACCCTGAAAACAGACGTAAGAAAATTCATATTATTCCTCAAGTTTTGCCATAGGGTAATTGTTGTATTTATAGTATAAGTAATAGGGTGTAGGAATGTGTAAATTACAAACCAAAATCATTTGGGACATCATGCTTCCTCCAGCACTTCCAAAAGTATAATATACCAGCGCCTAGGATCAAGAAATCAAGATTTTTGGAAGGATTACAAGATGGAGGAAAACCTAGCTCCTTAATGTTTATTATTAGCATTGCAATAAATACTGTGGCCCATATCAAGGTAGATGGTATATTTGCTTTCTTGCTCTACTTTTGAGCCTTTTAACAGGTTTTTTATCCAACATCTTTTCCTAAAATCAAATTTATTCTAGAAAAGATAAAAGGATCATACCTTAGCTTGGTTATGTTCCATTCCTATTCCATATGAAGATAGGAATCCTAATGCCTAAAAGTCACAAAATAAGAGGAAAATTTAATGAATTAATATACTTCCAAAATATTCTTTTCTATATTCAAATAGATTCAAAATTAGTAATTTTTAAAAAATTAAATTTCACCTATTGATTTACTATCATGTATTTATTATATTAGAAATTATTATTAGTAATGATAATAAATCAACACCTCTACTATTAATAGCTTACATTTGCATAGCAAATTAAAGTATTAACATATGAAATGACCACAATAATGTAAAGGACAACAACACTAACAGACATCAAAATTCAGGTGAACATAGGGACCAGTCTTCATTTCAGTGGATTCATTTCCCTTCCCTCAATACAGAGGTGGTAGAATATAGGTGCAAAATGGATACGGTATCAGGGTTAATGTGTCAGTTTGTTTTGATTAACCATTTCTTCTTTGGTACAAGGGAGGAGGTATGAGGTGAGTTAATGGGAAGTAATAATGATGTAAAAAAGCAGAAAATATCAGTAACAAGTTAATCAGTCAGTCAGTACACATTTATTAAATACTTATTATATGCCAGGCATCATGCCAGGTACTGGGGATCCAAAAAAAGGCAAGACTACTTCCTGCCCTCAAGAAGCTCACATTCTAATGGTGGTGGTGGTGGTGGTGAGACAGTAAAAAACTTTATAGACAAAAATCCCCTTTCTAGCTAAGGGAATCAGTAAAGGCTTCATAAGGATATGAATTAGGCTATGAAGGGGAAATGAAGAATTCATCAGATAGAGATGAAAATAACGTTTGTTCCAGACCTGAGGCAAAGGCAACATTGTGGAAAGAGCAAGGACATGAATGGTGGGTAGGCTGGTTTATCTGGAATATAGTGTGCATAAAGTATTGTAATATAATACGTTTAGAATGATAGGTGAGGCCCAGACTTTGAAGGGCCTTGAACATATATTTTATTCCAGGGGCAATAGAGAGATAATGAAGATTTTTGAGCAGAGGAGTGATATGACCAGAGCTGTACATTGTTATTATACTGGCAGGAGTGTGGAGTTTGGTTTGGAGTGGAATTCAGACTACTTTGGACACTATTACAAAAACAAAGGTGATGAGGCCCTTAGTCAGCATGGTGACAGTGGGATGCAAAAGAGGGGATGGATATGAGATTGCGGAGATAGAATTCACCAACTGATTGGACATGGAGGATGATGCTGATAGGATGAGTTAAAGATTAATAGTTTAAAGATGACTCATAATTTGCAAGCATGGGTGATTAGGTGGACATTGATATTTATGTAGCACACTAAGAAAGAGAATGGTAGAATAACACACTTTTTACTGGGCCCCCAAACTGAAAACTGCTTCAGATAAGACAAAGATTCCCCAATGCCAGGGTCAGGGGAGAATCACAATTTTAGTGAGTTTTAAAGAAGCATCAGTCATGCTTTGGGACTGTTGTGGAGTACTTGAAAATATTTTTTATTTAAGTATGCATTAATAAGTTAGAATTTTGTGTATTTTAAATCATTAAGGGGGAGTTCCCATTGAACACTTTGGAGTAGACATATATCAAGTGTCACTTTTTCCGTGTGGACTCCATATCCTTTGGAATGAGGTTCTTTTAGAACCTCTCTTTGGTTGATTTTGATGGAAATAAAGTTAATATACATAAGATCTGTGGTAAGTGAATTTGTTTTGAAAGTCCAAGCTTGGACTTTTGTGGTGTTTGCCACATAGATATAGCTATATTTTTTAGCAAAAAAAAAAATACAAGATAGGACTAGAAGAGAAAAAGATAAATAATAGTCAGAATACATCACCACTATTTCTCCACCCCACCCCCAAACAAACAAACAAACAAACCCACCAGTAGTAACTTTAGAGTGGGTATTCTCTCAACTTCATGTAGAAATAAGGAAGTTAGTAGGAGGTCAGGTCTTAGGGAGAGATGATTCAACAACCGAATTTAATTATTGAATTGAGTTACCCTCCAGGAAACCAGGACCAGACCTCTAGAGAATTCCCCACCTTCCTCATAGAGCTAATCCACTCAGTTTGAGTACTCTGCCCTGGGGCTCAGCTGTTTTGACTGGGGGATGAGTAAAGGCAAACTATACCTAACCCATTATATCTAGCTGGCTCCAGATCATTTTTATTTTTGGGTAAGGCAATTGGGGTTAAGTGACTTGCCTAGGGTCACACAGCTAGTAAGTGTCAAGTGTCTGAGGCCGGATTTGAACTCAGGTCCTCCTGACTCCAAGGCCAGTGTTCTATCTACTGGGCCACCTAGTTGCCCCCAGACCATTTTTAACATCCTGCCCAGCCTACCTGGATCTCTTGCTATTTGTCCTGCCCCCATATACCCCAAATTCTACCTCCTCATTTTCCCCTTCTTGATGTCAAAATAATAATAAAATCATCGCTACCATTGATACTAAAAAGGGCGTTATAACTGATTGCTCTTTGGCTCCACTCATAGCTCCCTGACTCCCCAGACCAAAGCTCCCTTCCATGGCTGCCAGTTCCCTACATTTGTTGTTATCCCTCATTAGAATGTAAGACTCTGGAAGACAGGGACTGTCTCAATTTTGCATTTGTATCCCTACCATCTAGAGCAATCTATCCTATATAACATATGCTTAATAAATGATATTTCACTAAGTCAATAAACATTTATTAAGCACCTTCTATGTGCAAGGCCCTAAGCCCTGGTGAAATGAACAAATGAATTTAACTTGAGATACACTGAGTTTGAGGTGTTTGCAGGATGTCCAGCTGCAGGTATTCAGTAAGAAGTTGTAAATATAGGTCTGGGGCTCAGGACAAAGGCTGAGGCTGAAGGTATAGATTTAGGAGTCATCTGCACTGAGATGGTCATTGAAGCCCCAGGAGTGGATTAGATTGCTAAGGGAAAGGAATAGTGAGAAAAGAGAAGAGGGCTGAGGGCAGAGCCTTAGGGAATGCTTTAATTTAATGGAGAGGGGTACAGAAGGAACAAACATTTATTAAGTACCTACTATGTGCCAGGCACTGTGCTAAGTGCTTCACAAATATCTCTTTTGGGGAGGGAGAAGGAAAAGGAGCCAGTGAAGAAGACAGAGAAGAGCAATCATAGAGATAGGTAGAAATTGAGGGAAATTAGGATATTGCTTATTTTAATAGCAGCAACAATAATGATAAAAATGAATCTTTAAACCTATAAATTGTGAACAAGATGGTCCTTATCAGTTTTCCAGGTGCTGGGCAATAACAGCTTCTTCTCAAGGAAAATTTGTTAATCTTTGTCTTTGTACCAATCTAGGAGGGACCTGAGGAGTGAAGATTTTATGTGAGAATCATTGTCTATGGAATTGTTCTCATAGGGCTGGCATTACAAGAAGGCAGAGGAGATGTCTTCCTGAGTGGTATGCATTCAGGGGTTCTGAGAAGTTTCTCCCTACCCAAAATAATATCCATTTTGCTTGTTAATGCTTGAAATTGCACTAATAGAATGACTCAACCCAAATAGCTCTTAGCATCTTATATAGGAAACTTCTCTTGTTCTTTGGACCTATTTTTGAAATAAATGGCATATTTTCCAAGCATTTATGAGAAATTATTGAAATTGGTTAAACTTGGCACATTTACAACATAGAAAATGACAGACTCCAGAAAAAAACATAAATTGTCGGGAAAGCTAAATTCTTGATATTGTATAAAAGGGTCTTAAAGCTATTCAGGCCTATGAGATAGTGTCATGACCCACTTATTACAGGAAGAAAAACGGAGGTGTGAGCTAATCAGCATTCTTGCAAGGTCACATACAAGTTAGTAGGGGATCATGACACTCACACTCCTGTTTTCCATTCTATCTAGTTTAATTAAATTAAATGAATATGTATTGAATATCTACAGGAGTAGAAAACTATGTCACAGATTGCATTTGAAATAGCAAGCAAAGTTTAAAAATGTTAATCTTTTTTACCTTTGGGAAGATTTGGTTTGCATTTAAAAAATTATACATTTAAAAGAATTGACTAGTACTGTGTGTGCATAAATTATGCACGCATATATACATCTACAGGTATATATGCACCGATACATAAATATATACATATGTATCTATCTGGAGATACGTGACAAGGTTTGTCATTGGAAAGAGCACTGTTGGGTGATGGTGGAAACAATAGTTGTACAGGCACATTCTCCTGTGTGAACACACTGAGGAAATGCTTCTGAGGGGTTACAACAGCCTACTTGTTTCATCATGGGAAAAGAACTGAATTTAATGTATTTGTTCAAGGCACTACATAGAAGACACTGAGAATCCTTTCTGCTACAACTAGATTCAGCAACGTGTGGAATAATAAATCTTAATAAGTACTGTCAATCTTAGGACTTCCTTTCTTGAAGTCTACACATGCCATCTGTTTTCCATTCAGACCCAGTGAACCCATGTATCAAATTGCTTCACAGAACCTGTTCAATTTACTTCTAGTAAATTTCTGGCATGTGCCCTAATGAAAAGAACGCTCATTTGGGCATTTGGGCTCATGGATTTTCCGTCTTTGGAAAAACACGCAACAGCTTCCAAGGCTTCAGGATAGACATTGTAAAATTAAGCTAACTATTGGTGGGGAAATAAAATGTTTAGTGAGCCAGCAGGCTAACCTTGGGATTTTGAGACAATGTAAAACATCTTTTACTTTTCAAAACTGGGAGTTAGGTTTCTATGTATCAGTAGACCTCCCGTAGTAAGAGACTATATTAAAGGTGTTACCCACTTGCCCTTTGCTAATAAGTGGACACAAGCAATTAGAATTCAAAAGACTGATTTGTGTAGGCAGCTATGTGGTGCAGTGGATAGATTGTGAGCCCTAGAGTCAGGAAGACCTGAATTCATATCCAGCCTTGCTACTAACCCTCAACACACACAAGCAATTGAGAGGAGAGAATATATACGCTAATGGTGGAGTTTGGTTTTTTTTTTGGTAGATATAGCGGTAATATATTCTGACTATTATTTATATTTTTCTCTTCTAGTCCTAT